TCATGAACAAAGGGGTTGTTTTGTGAAAAGGAGGAAAGGCAAAAAGGGCGGGACTGTTCAAAATTTTCGTAGTACGAGGGCGGCATGACTGCTGCCCACAGCCTATCAGAGCCTGCCACGTGTCATTGGAAAGTGAAGCGTTACAGTCACTGTGATTGAAGAGACGTTTTGACCGAACATGTAGAGCCGGAGTAAAATAAACTCGGCTGGAGAGGCTAAACGGTTTTTTAGTTCGGCTGGAAAGGCTTAAAAATGTTAGCTCGGCTGGTCACTAGGTAATCCCAATCATGCTGTACAGATGGCATTAAGGGGCAATTGAGAGGGTAATTTTTGGTGAAAATTGGGCCGAGCTATGGGATGGACTTTATGGCCCAAAGTACGAAGGACTGGGTGAAAAGGGCCGAGAAGTTACTCTGGCCCAAGAGAGATAAAGTTACTCCGGCCAAAAAGAGATGAAGTTATTTCGGCTCAGGAATTGTAAAGCTACTTCGGTCCGGAAGCAACTTGAAGTTAGACCGGTCTTGGAGTTATACCGGTCGCGAATCGTTGGTTCGGTCTAAACCGTACCATGAGTTCTACATGGAAAGCCGAGATAAGAAAGAGTAAACGGAAGAACCGAACTAAGGATAGTTCGGCCTATTCTGTGGCTCAGCATAGCCAGGTTTATCTTGGTCGTATGGTAGTTCGGCCATGACAAAAACCATCTCACTTGGTTTAAGTAGTGGGGGGGTGTTAAAGGATAAGCATTATCCTACAGGAGTATGAATCCTAGGAGGACTCTACATGGAGGAGTAGAAGTCCTACTAGGATTATGCCATGCGAAACCTATAAAAGCTCACAAACATCACCTTGGGTGAGGTAACACAACATACAATTTTGTTTTCTAAATACATTGAGCTTTGTCTATTTGTCAAGTTTACTGACTTAGGCATCGGAGAGGTTTCCGGCACACACCCGCCGGCTAGCTCACGTTTGTGTTTTCAGACGACAAAGCGACGTCGTACGGAGAAGCGCGGACTTAGTCAACAGGATTATACAAGGAGAATTATTTCTTCCCCGTACATATATATATATATATATATATATCATTTTTGGAATATTGACCACATTTTTTTTAATCCCAATTTGCATTTTATGAGTTGGTCTAGTACAAGAAGTTATAGGAAAAAGTATATTATGGTTTATTTAATTTGTCGTCTGGAAACAAATTATTTTAGTATTTTTTTAGTTTTTTATGAAAAAAATGTACAAAAAAATAGAGAAACTAATGTGATAATTTATAGTGACTTTTTTACTAAAATACTTAGTCCTCAAACGAGGCAGTTATGTTTCTATTAAGAGACAAACAAATAAATAAATAAAAGAATTGGCTTAAATTCATGTTTTGGTTTGTTGGGCTCACCACGGATCCCATGAATAATTCATTTTATAAGTTCTTACATGTATATTATTTATGAAAAAAATTATGTCAACTTGATAATTGTAACATTTTTATTTTATCAAGTTTGTTTTAAAAAAAAAATGACATGTATATTTTTGAAAATAGACTATCTAATTTTTTATAATAAACGCGATAAAATGAAAAAATTACGATTATCGGATTATTTTTATGGATAATATACATGAAGAATCTACAAAAATAAATGATTTAAATTATTGAAACGAGACCTATGATGTGCCCAAGAGCATGAACTACTTGATGGTCAAGTTCAAATTTAAATTTAAAAAAAACTTAATCCATAAATAAGAAGACTAAAAAAAAATGACTTGATTTTTGTTTTTGTTTTCTTCTCAAAATATTTGGTTTTTTTTTTTTGACTTCCATGAACTACAATGGATCATTCTAATAAAGTTACCAGAGCTTTCAAATATTCTATTTGAATTATCCAATGATTCGGATATTTTGGTCTTTTCAATGAGAACAATGCTAGGGATTAAAAGAGTTGCATCAAATCTTTTTTCAAATTCATAAATTAAAAGCAACCTAAAATGACATATTCTAAAATTTTAGAGTAAAGGGACTAATTTGATACAAATTGAACACCGGACAAAAATTTCACAACAAAACAACGCATAATAAATACATAAATAAAATTAATATTAAAATAATTATAATACTAACTCAAAATAACACGACATTATATTGACCACGTACCGCATGATCTATGGGCAGCACAATTAAAACTGCAAACAAATCAAATTGTTCATGAACAATTTGAGTTTGGCTCGTTTAAAGTTCGAGCTTGATTTTAAACTCGTTTATTAATTGAGCCAAGTTCGAGTAGTCTCAAGCTCAGCTCAATAAGGCTCGTGAACATGGGGAAAAAAATTAATATTTACTTTTACTAATATATCAAATAAATTTTCATAATTTATTTTAGTTTTTTATTTGTGTTTGATATTTGTGTAAATTTACATATTTAATTGATGGAATTTTTTATTAATATAAGTATTCTTGTATATTTTGCTCATAATTTTTTTTTTATAATAAGTAAATTAATTTAAGTTTAATTTTTTTTTTCAAGCTCGAGGTCAAACTTGGCTTGTTTATGTAATTGAGCAAACTCAACTTGAGTTTGAGTGTATCAACTACACTTTATCAAACCACACCGGTTGAGTTAGTGAGGGATGTCTAGTTTTTTAGCACACTTCTACACATAACCACAAAAAAAAAAAAAAAAAAAAAAAATGATTCAACTCAACTCGTTTGTAGCCTTAAGCACAATATCTTTACTTTGAGATATTTTGTAGGAAGAATTACTTAACAGTTGAGCAGAGAAAAAAAAAATTACAAATATATGAGGAGTGCAAGTGATTCTATAATAAGAAACAAATAAAAAAATTGTGAAGGTACAAGTCTCACTAAAAGCTCATGTGACCTTGCACTTAAGTAATTCCATCTATCTTCTAATATATCCATATAATGATTGACTCTTCCCATCAAAAAAAATAGAAAATGATTCACTCTACTTGGTTTTGGTTTTCAGAATTTATTTTTCATAAAATTTTACTTTTTTGTTTTTCATATTTTTTTATTTTCACTAAATTTTTTTCAATATTTTAAGTAATTTTTTTAACTTTTAGACACACCTACCATAAATACACTTAAAAAGTATAATTTCTGTGACAAAAATCTTTAAAAAATTCACTAAATATCAAAAATATAAAAAAATTACTAAAATTCAATAAAATTTTTATATTTTAGTGTATTTATTAATTTTTAAAATATTTCTTCACAACTATTTTACTTTTAGATACATTTAAATAAAATGCATCTAAAAAAATATTAAAAATTATTTAAAATTTAAAAAAATATTCACTAAAAACAAATCAATATTAAAAAAATTAAATTCAAAAAATTAAAACTAAACACACCAATTGACTCCATAGATTCCTTTAACCAATGACATGAAGTCAGACTTTCTTTAAATGGGTCCAGACTCGACGTTGACAAAAGGACTGCTTGGAAGGTGGATAGGATTATTTGTTCTTTTTTATGATTTTTTCCAAATATTATTTAATATAAACCAATTGGGTTAATTAAATAAAGGAAAACTACATACAAATAAGGAAAGATAAAAAAAAAATTACAAATATATAAATGATTATGGTGAGATGTAAATAAAAGATTATAGGGATATAAAGATATAAATGTCACTTGTACCTTTTCATATATGGATAATTTTTTTTCTTTTTTTCCACCTATATGTAGTTCCTCCATTAAATTATCAAAGAGACTTCCTTTTCACTTTTCATAAGCTTATGCACTTTGGCCCATAAAATTTTAAAAGTGATGCAATTAAAAAAAAAAAAAACTATAAGAGTACATATGAAATAAAATAAAAAATTATAAGAAGTTGTTTAATATAATTTCATACCAACTAAATATAAAGTATTCCCTGTTTATTGTAAGGTTTTTTAAGATGTGGTTACCAATGATTTGTTTTAATAGGAAAATATATTAAAATTTGAAGAGCAATCCTTACATATAGGGAGTGCGATGTTAAATTTTTTGACGGTGATTAAATTTCAGAAGTCATTACTACATGAGATACAATATATATATATATATATTGAAGGATTGTATAAAAATAGGTTTTAACAAAATCTTTACAAGTGGTGTTTATTGACATAAGAGTACCTTCTGCTCATGAGTCTTTAATCTTGGGTCAGTTGTTGAAATAAATTATATGTGATAAAGTTATGGGTAAAATCAAAAGAAGCTAGAAAAGAGAATTGTGACACCATGATTGAAATGAAAAAAAAAAATCCAAAAACAAATAACAGAGGGGAAAATGTGCTATTTAATTATTTATTTTTTTAGATTGGAGGAAAAATGTGTTATTAAATGACTAAAATGTCATTTTACTCTCGAAAGTGATAAAGAGTACGAAAAAAGATTCATGTAAATGGAAGATTAAAAGGAGAAAAACAAATGCAACAAACATCAAACTTGTACTGTTTCATTTAGCATTCTAACAAGCTTAGAAAATGTTCTATTATCGAGACTGGGTTGCAGCTATTCATTTAATGTGGGCATTGTTGCTTCAAAATTATGTCTATTTAGATTGGTATTTTTATTATTGATTTGCATAGGAATTTACAAAGAAAAAGAGAAAAAGTAGTGAAATATAAATGAAATACACATACATTTCACTCACCTTTTTTCTTTTCCTTTCTAAATTTCTATCCAAACATAGCCTTAGTTAATGGTGTGTTGTTATGTTTTGCAGGTGGAAAGAAACAATTGACCTTGAATGTTGCCATAGGTATCCTATTGAAATTTTATTCTATGTCTTTCCTTAATTTAGTAATGCATAAAAACTTTAATCATTTTGTTTTCTTTGTTCAAGGTTTGATCAATTGCATTATAACTAGAACATTGTTTATGATTCATATTTGTTCGTAGTAATTTTCTGTAAACAACTGAGTTAGTTTTAATTTTTGTTAACATAATTCTTGCATTACTTCACAAATTTGTTTTTGGCTGGTCAGAGATTTTAACACTACTTGACTTCTTTCATTCTTGCAGTAATCATTTTAATCGTTGTTGGAGCAGCAATTTTAGTCACTTGCCCATCTCTGATTTTCCGATTTACAAAGAAAACCTCTACATACAAATCGATATTCTTTTGGAGGAAATCAACAATGGCAGATGATAATGTGGAAGCTTTCTTGAAATTTAATGGATCCCTTGTGCCACAAAGATATAGTTACTCAAGAATAAAGAAAGTAACAAATTCTTTCCAAGATAAACTCGGGAAAGGCAGCTATGGTGATGTGTACAAAGGCAAGCTTCTTGATGGACGTCTAGTGGCTGTCAAGCTTCTAAATGAAACAAAAGACAGTAATGGAGAAGAGTTCATAAATGAGGTCGCAAGCATTAGTACGACTTCCCATGTCAACATTGTAAGCCTTGTAGGGTATTGTTTCGAGGGTCGCAAAAGAGCTCTTATCTACAAATACATGCCAAATGGATCTCTTGAGAAGTTCATACACAACAACAAATCACAGGAGACAAATGACGACTTAGAATGGAAAACAATGCACAAGATTATAGTAAAGGTTGCTCGAGGATTGGAGTACTTGCACCATGGTTGTACAACTCGCATTTTTCATTTTGACATTAAACCCCACAACATTCTTCTAGATGAAGATTTTTGTCCAAAAATTTCTAATTTTGGGCTTGCTAAATTGTGTTCCAAGAAAAAGAGCATTGTATCCATGTTGCATGCACAAGGAACTATTGGGTATATAGCACCTGAAGTCTTCTCCAGAAATTTTGGAAGAGTATCGCACAAGGCTGATGTCTATAGCTATGGAATGCTAGTCCTAGAGATGGTTCATGGAAGGGCAAACATTGGTGAATCAGTTGAACACACTAGCAACTTATATTTCCCACATTCGATCTGTAACATTTTGTTTTCAGGGCCGCTCGAGCGGGAAAACCATCGCTCGAGCGTAGAATTGTTGCTCCCTGCATTTTGTTGCATTGTAAGCATGTCCGCTCGAGCGTGAAATGTTAGCTTCCAGTAGTTTCACTGTAGCACTGCAAAACTTCTGAGGTTTCTCTTTCTCCGCTCGAGCGAAGAAGTTGCCGCTCAAGCGAGCCTTCTTGTTTGTGTCTGGTCGCTCAAGCATAAAAAGCCATACCCGAGCGGGGAATGCGATATCAGTTTTTTAAATACGGTGATTCTAGATCATTCTCTTATCTTTTTTGTTCTATTTTCCATCTCCTCTTTCTCTCTCTATGAAACCCTAGATTTCTACCACCAAATACCTCTCATACCTTTGAAATCCATCCAAAATTGCTTGCTAGCGGCGAAGAACCCTTGAAGATTTCATTATCTACAGATTGGATTGTGGATTTACGGAAGATTCTTGTAGGAGCTTGGATTTTGCTTGATTATTGAGGTAGGGACACCTTTACCTTAGTATTTCTTCGTTATTGAAGGGAATTCTTGGCATTGTGTGTGATTTGTGAACTAATTTGAGGATTTGTTGGATTAAACCCTTATTTCACATGCTAAACCATTTAGCTTTACATTTTGTTGAACTTTCTCAACTCCTTCCTTAAAACATGAATGTAAATGTTGTTAAAACCTAGATTGGTGATAATAGAGAGAAACCCCCAAATTAGGTAAAACCCTAAATTCTCAAATTGAGTAGAAAACACTTATACCATGGAATTTCTTGTGATTTATGAAACATCGTGAACAATGGAGGGATGGAAAAGTGGATATTGTCATAGTTAAAGGAATTGTAGCTTGGATATTATTATTCTTTAAATTTTATGTGATGTTCATCTATGGTGATGTTAAATGTTTGATTGTGGGATTGAAATGTGACATATTTGTTATGTGTGCAAGAGTTCGAGTGAGAGTCAGTGTTGGGTAAATGTGGTGTGTGTGTGTTGGTACCCGCACGGGGAGTTTATAAAGGTGTCCAAATGCCGTGTCTAGGCTTATCGTTGGACGAATGTGGGGAAAATGTTTTGGGGTGTCCACACAGTCCCGCCGTATAATAACCGGTAAAAGTGGAAAAACGGATGATTTTCCTTAGGGTGCCCACTTCCTGCCGTATAATAGCCAGTAAATGTGGGAGTGATTTCCAAAGATAAAAGTGATGGGTGTTCTCACTTAGACTCTTGTCAATGAATGTGTGGCTTGACGTTTCATGGTTGTGGATGTTTATTTGTTATATATGAAGATATGATGTACTATTATCTGTGTTAGAATATCATGGTCACTTGTGATTTGTTACAGACTAACAGTAAAGATAAGTTTTATTGTAAAGTTTGTTACTCGGATGCCATAATCTTTTTCAAAGGATTAAATACTTGGTTAAATGTGTTCCTATTGGGAAAATAGCTCAACCCTAATTTATTTTTCAAGAATTGACGAAGGATAGCCTCGTTGATGAACTGGTCCAAGCACTACCTCATTTTGGGAATGATAGAAGTCAAGTGGGTGTTGGTTGTTTTAAATTGGAACTTTTGTAATCGGACTACTAAATGTATCTTGTGACGTTGTATGCCCGAGGGGCTTATGTTTTGTTAAGTCATCTAGTTTATTGAACTGGAGTATGTACTTTGGACATTGTGGGAATGTATTTATTAAATTGTAATCACTTAAATCTTAGTTCAATGAGAAAGATGACCTTTTGAATTAAATGGTTATGTTAGCATTATGTATTTTAGTGTGAATTTTCAAGGCGTTACACGATCTACAAGAAGCTAGAATATGATGGAGATATAGGACTTCATGGGGTTGAATCTGAAGAGGATGAAAAATGTAACGCCCTCAAAATATTATACAAATCAACCATTCATAAGGTCTAGAGACATAATAGAAATGTTGTACTTTCATTCATCAGAGTTAATATTACAAAAGATATTACATGCATTACACTTTCATAAATATCCATCTTGAAACCACAACATATAACTCTAATTTAGAACAACAAAATAAATGCCCTAAGTTCTTACATCTTTCCAAGTAATCACTTGGTCACAACAAAAGAGAGAGTCAGAAACTCTTTACAATTAAAGCCCTCGGCTTAAAAAAAGACATATAAACACAAAAATGAAATCACAAAAGTAGAGTCTTTAGCCTCTAAGCCTCCTAAGTTATGTCCTTGGAGGTGGCATGTCACATGTACCTGAAAATGATTTCCCAAGTAGGGTAAGCCAAAGCCCAGTAGAGATATGTTAAACCATACATGAGAATTAACTAAAATATGAGCATCAGATAAATGTGCAACATTCTTAACCAACACATATTCTTTTCAAGGTCATTCAATATAGATAACTAATATTTCAATTCATTTCCATTCTACCATTTTGGGTAAATCAATTAGTCAAATTCATTATTATCAAGCAACCAATATGAGACTACAACTCAATGGTTCACAATTCAATACATTCATCAAATCCAACACTTCTATTTCTTGCCATTTTACGGAACCACGTCCAAGGGAACCGGCACCCATAAATATAAAAGATTTCGGGACTTTCACCCCAGACACTCCGACCAACTTAATTATCAATGGAGTCTATCCTCTATCTCCTCCCAAACAATGGAGTACATCCCCTATCTCCTCCCAAACAAAGATACATATACAATGTATTCAAGCACTTTGTCACATACTATGACTAATCAAAACACATATTCAATGGTTTAATCAAACCATCATATTCAATGACATAATTCAATTGATTAGTTTCAATCATCCTATTTCTCATGCAGTTTCAACAACAATCATAGCTATCATCCACCGATAGCCCAAAATAGATATATCTAAATAGATAAATAAATCTATCAACAGATAATTTATCAAATTCCATAGGTGTGTGATTTATCAAACCAAACTACACTATTCAATCACATTTCCCCCAATTTCATAATTCCCAAACCAATTTCATTATTTACATGAATAGTTATTTCAACTCAACTTAGGGTAAAATTTCTCTTTTTTCCAAAATATCAACCTATAGGTCCAAATCTCACCACTTCAGCAATAAAGAACCTCACACACAAACCCCTAAGGTTATTTTGTAAATCAACATGAAAAACCCCCTTTAGTTTAGAACCAAAACCTTAACTTTTACCAAACCTCAAGCTTAGATGAGAGAGAGAGAAGAGAAAGCTCAAAAGTTGATGGCGACGAAACCACGTTTTGCCCCGATCAAAACGAAGCCCTTGACAAGCTCTACACTTTATCTCAAATGAGCAAGGTGAAAAGATTACTCTAGGTGAGTAGATCTAGAGATTTAAGTGAAGAAGTTTGGGTTTTAGAGAGAGAAAAGAGAAATCACGGTTTAAGAGGAAAAAAAGAAAGAAAATCATGGGAGAAAAATGGTTTGGGCCTATTTATAGTAGTGAGGAAAAGCCCTAAGGTCAAATAAAATAATGGGCCCAAAAATCGCCTTAGATAGGGCCCATTTGGACCTCAAAAATCTGGAAAAAAACACACAGGGGTCGACCCTTAGACAGAAGGGGGGTCGACCCTATCTTCTAGCAACCAACACACAGACATAAGAGGGTCAACCCTCTCCTAGTCTGGTGTCTATCCTATCTTCCAGCAACACTTCCAGAAACTTTACCAACAGGTAAGGGTCGACCCTTAAGAAGGCTGGTGTCGACCCTAGAATAGAATTTTTAAGTCTCCGAGGAACTTTTGACAAGAATAAGTGCGAACAACCAAACCCAACAAGTTTAAATCGGATTATACTCCTCCAAAACCAACGTACAACAACACCAAAGATTTCCAAAATAAAAATAAAAATAAAGGATTCGAATACACTTCCCCAAAAGCTTTGAAAGATACAGGTGCTACAAAAAAGTTTCACGAAAGATGATATTAGTCAGTTTATGTTGCATACAAGCTAATCCATTAGATAGACCGGCAATTAACAAGGTGATTGAGATTCTAGAAGGAAATCTAGAATCTTTGCAAATTACCCCAAAACCATTCTTATCTTCACCTTCAAGAACACCAATCACGTCTTCTACTATTCAATGTAATGATGTTTTTCTAGGTTAAAAACATTATGGATTGCAAAGCTTATATAGAATAATATCATGTGAAGTAGATTCCTTAAGACCCTCAAAGTAGTGAAATTTTGTTTGAAGTTACTATGTTAATTGTTGTCCAAGTATGTCTTTGATTCTTTACTATGAATTGTTGTCCTAAATTTTTTCTAATAAAAACAGAGCAAGATGTCTACTGTGGTTGTAAATTTCCTTTTCTTTTCTTTTTCTTGTTACCTTTTTTTTCTTCTATTACACAAAAGCTGCAATAAATCAATTTGAAGAAAAATAAGAATTCTTTCCATGAACAAAACTTCAAATTCTTCTATTATAACGTATGGGGAACACTAATGAACTGTGAGATTGGTCCCGAGATTAGTTGGTTCATTGGATCGAATACCAAGTTGTCAAAAAGTCAAAAAAAAAAAAAAAAACTTTTTCTGGTATCATGAATTCGGGAATGAACAAAATTAGTCTAATCTCATCATCCCATAGTCTAGAGAAATTAGACTAATATCTTTGCCACATTGATATGATTCTCCCGTTTCTATGCATAACATAGTGAGCCCAAAATAGGATATCTTTCTCGCTTTTTTTGTTTCTCTTTTTTTTTCCCATAAAAATGATTGATTGATCATTGTATCTTAGATATTCAGCAACAATTGGATCTTGGATCGTACTCCTTTAACAGAAAAAGCACTTTTGACATGATCATCTACAATGAGATTAGCATTAGCACTATAAATGTGGCATCGAAAAATCTAGGAAAAAGATAATAATAACGGTAATAAAGCATTAACTTCATATGCAACCTCTTTAGTAGGAGATTTTTTTCATCTGGTTCCCTATGATGAAATTTATCCATGATCACATTTCCCATATCTCTGGCTCATTATAACAAGAAATCATTGGATATACTTGGAATGTCACGTGACCTTAATATTGTATTGTGGTATTCCCACAACACATGCATGTGTTGATCTGAGAACACCCAATAAATTCTTCGATTATATTATGACATTATCATTGGTAGACCATGAAAATGAAAGTAAATATCATGACATTATCACATATATGGTCTAGTTTTTGTTTTAACATTTTTCCCAATAATTTTTTCATTTTCCCTTCTGCTTTGTGAAAAATTTCTCTCCATCGACACAAATTTATCAACGTGACAATTTAAGACCAGGAAATTGGGTATGGTTCATTGCCTAGTTTTAAGAACAAATAATAACAATGAAACAATGAATAGAACCAAAAACACACACATATATATATATATATATATTCAATCGAAAAAAAAAAAAAAAAAAAAAAACTCAATCAACTTATACAATGAATGATTTTATCACTATATACGAAGGCATTAATATAATTCAGAGTAACTTTCATATTCATGGTGGAAATAAGACGGCATTATCACCCAAAATTCACTATAAAATGGATCTTGACTGCATTAAAATGATACATCAACTAAGCTACTACTAGCATTAGATGTGGTACTTCCCCTGCTAACCCAATTTTGCCTCCAAGAATTAGGCGAAAGCGTCGGTGGATCACTCTTCAACAATACAACATCATCTGTTGGTATGTCCATCTCGTCCGCAACCTTCCTATCATAGCCCACACTGCTAATTTCCTTCAAAACCTCCAACACTTCTTTCATCGATGGCCTCATATCGCTCTCATTTTTCAAACACTGAATTGCCAGCTCAGCAATCACCTTGATCATCTCCGTCACCTTATAATCCGAGTTAAACCCAAGACACGGATCAACAAGCTCATGAAGTTCTTGATTTTGAATCTTATTAATCGCCATATTAGACAAATTAATTTCGTGGCGATGCCTTGTAATGTCCACAGCTGGCTTAGACGATATAAGCTCGATCAAAACAACCCCAAAGCTATAAACGTCACTCTTATCAGTAAGTTGGTAGCATTCATGGTACTCGGGGTCCACATAACCCGGAGTACCTTGTGGGGCCGTGGACACATGGGTCACATCAGTTGGGAAAAGACGAGAAAGTCCAAAATCAGCAACTTTAACGCAAAAGCTATTGTCGAGCAAGATGTTGTTAGTTTTGACATCGCGGTGAATGACGTCAGATGCATGGAGGTAAGCCAATGAGCTAGCGGTTTCGAATGCAATGCTCATTCTTGTAGTCCAAGAAAGGGAACCGGGTTTTGCACGGTCACCGTGGAGGTGATCGGCGACAGTGCCATTAGGGATGTATTCATAGACAAGGAGGAGCTCGCGGCAGTGGCGGGAGGAGCAGCCATAGAGGGAGACGAGGTTTGGGTGGCGGAGGCGGGTGAGGATCTCTATTTCGTTCATGAATTGTTCCACTCTTTTGAAATTGTGTTCATGTAATCGCTTCACCGCAACTACACGCCCGTCTCGAAGTTTGCCTGGTTAAGATTATATGAAAAAAGTGGTTGATCTCAATCAAATGGTGCATGTAAGTACGATTTTCTTTACAATAAACCATAGGAAAGAAGGGGAAATTCTATAATATACAACTCAAGAAACAAAACGTGTCATATGCTCCTAGTTATGAGATTTTGTAATTTTTTATTATGATTCATTGAAATATTGGTTAACAATACAGCTTGTTTGAAATTAAACCAAATTGAGTCAATTTAGAACTTAGACAACCCAAGTGACACAATGCATAATTTAGGAATTATAAAAATATTATATCCTACAAAATATTTCAAAAAAAAAAGTTAGCTTGTGAGGATTGGACGGTCCAATGTAGGCTCGTGGGCTCTCTAAGGGCCTCAGTTCGATGATTTATTGATAGTCTGTCTGTGTAGATTATCCACACAAGTACGCAAGCATGCGCACATACACCCCCTCTCCAAAAAAAAGAAAAAAAATAAAAAAGAAGATTGATTTGATAATTTTAACCATAAGATTTCATCACATTAGTTTTAAAAAATTGGGATGATAAATGTGGTTTTGAAAATTATTTACCTATTTTTTAAAAAATAAATGTGATAAAATTTTGTAGAAAAAAAAAACTAAAAATCTTCTTTTTTTTCTTTTTCTTTTTATGAATGATTACATATGAAGGCTTACAAAAATCTACGGATTAAATCATCAAAGTGAGACTTGTGGTGAGTCCATGGGCCTAGGACAGTCCAACTCTTTTGAGGACTAAAAATATGTATTATTCTTTAAATATATATATATATATATATATAATATAATCCTGCCAACACTATATTCATTAAAAAAAGTTGAGTTTGTATGATAGTTTTGAGTTGATAAATACCTTGGTATACAGTGCCAAATCCTCCATCTCCAATTTCTTTCTTGGAATCAAAATTGTTGGTGGCTTTTTGGAGTTCATCATAACTGAAAGTTTGGACTCCATAGTAGCTTGCTTCCTTTTCAATATCATTCATTGAAGATGTATGAGAAGTGTATCGAGCTATCCAAGACGACGTCGCATTGTATTTTTTGTTCCTGCGATGATAGATGATGAAAACAATAGCCACCACAAGTAAGGTACCTACTCCTGCCCCAAACCATGTATTGGAAAAAAAAGCCGAGTGAGAATATGCTCTATAACAAGAAGTTTGGACCATTGTTCTCCTATAAACCAATTATAGAATCAAACACAAAATTTCTATCAACAGTGCCAAGAATACAAAATAAATCATAGAATAGTTCATAAAATGTATAATGAAAGACTGAGATAAATCCAATTATAGAAGGATCCACATTCATATTAAATCTCAGCCTACCATTACACTTTGTATGATCCATTCTATATTTTAATTATGTGTTTTTAGCATTAGTGAATCTATATTAATTTATCTTTTATGTAAATTTGATCATTGGTTTTCTAATTATATTAATTTTACTCTTGAATTTTTCATGTTGTATCAATTTAGTCCAATTGGTAATATCTCTTTAGAAATTAGATTGATCAATCGGTAAAATAGTTCATTCATTCTCTTCAAAGTGATTGAAGAGTTATTCTTAAATTTAAATTTGTCCATTTCCTTTTGAAAAGATCATTTTACCCTTGTTTGTTGTCTAATTCTTAATGGATGTTATCAATTTGTCTAAATTAACAAAATGTCAAAAATTAAAGACAAAATTGATATAATTGAAATATATCTAAATTGGCATAAGACATGAATTATAAGAATCACACTTATAATTTTCTTTATAATTTTTTTACATGTAAATCCCACTATTCATTTTTTTAAAAATATTGTTCATTTATATATATTTTATGTTTAATTTTGTGATCGATTTCTTACCAAAATGGAAAACAATAGAAGATGGGAGGGGCATATTTACCTATACCGAGCGCCGCTAGCAACTTAATTTTTGTATGCCCTGTAGATAATCATGAAACATGATAAACCATTAGCCCAAATATTATCACAATGCAAACTCTAATAGTGGAATATATGAGAATTCTATCTCTACCCTAATTTTCATTTGAATGGTCTACTTGTAAAAATTTACTTACATATATAAAATAAAGAAAGAAAGAGCGAATGGACACAAGATTATGGATGCAAGTTATTGTCTCTAGGACTAAAATTTGCAACAAGAAAGATAGAAATAATTGAAAAATGTTGGGTACACAACATAAATCTACAACTACTCTAAAAACAGGTATGCAGACCTTGGATGGATCTAGGAGAATGTCATAAAAAACAAAAGTGAATTATTTTTTAAACACCAATTGATTTTAGAAGAGATAGTGAAACACTGTCCGACCAGAAAGAGTGATAGAAAGGACTAAGTTTCACTACGCTTACCATCGTCACAGGTTTTGGAATGTTGTTTATCAGAGCAAAAACAGGTAAATTTGTTATTAATAGAACCACAATTCCCTCCACTTCTCTTGCAATCACTACAATAATCTTCACTTCATTGCAAAACAAACCCTCTTCTCAAAATATCAGTGAAATTCATTTCCAACAATTACTTGATATCTCCAGTCTCCACAGGTGCATTCACCCAAGAATTGCACGAGTCAATCGAATAATTCTCATACTCCAAAACCTCCTTGTGAAAAATAGCAAATGATAAGTCGGTAGCATTGCTTGCACAATCAACTCGATATGTTGGTTCTTTAATAGGATACGTTGAACAATTGTAGAAGAAGAAGAGATCAACATAGCTAAGACCATAGTTGTATGGAGTTCCCTCAATGCTAAAATTATGCAAAAGAATTGGACATGTATTTTCAAAATCATAGACCATGGAATTGGCCAAGAGAAATGAATTATTGGTGTAGAATATTTCTTCGATGACATAATCATCATCAGATATGGCAACAACCGGGTTTCCGCCATTGCAAGTGACCTCAAAGTTTGGTTGGCCACAATAAGACTCATGCAAATTAGTAATCCAAAAAGGGTAACTTATATTTGGACCATTCCCGCAATTTCGAGGCACACAGGCCTCGAAATTCGGATCTACGGATAGAGTTTCATATGTGAAGACGGAAAATATGATGAAAATGACAAGAATATGGAAAGATTTGTTGAATTTGAGATGCATTTGGAGAAGAAAGAATGGAGAAAAAACAGAAAAATAGGGGAGGCGAGAAAACAGAGGAAAACAGGGGAGGAGAGGAGAGAGGTGTGAAAGTGGAGGAGAGAAGCATTTGTGGAAGAATTAATACTATGTAGTGGTTTGATATGATTTAGTTTTGGGACCTTTGTATATCTTTTGAATTTACCTTTGTGTTGTTTTGTTGTTTTGGGTATAATGATTGGGAGGTTTGAAAATGTTGGCTTAGATGCACAAGAAAGACAAACTTCAGTTCAAGCAAAAGCAAGTGTCTTGCTTTTTCTTCAACTACCTCTAAAGTCAGGGATAGAACATAGTACAATCAATGGGCTTTAATTTCAACCATATATACATGACCTTGGATGCTAATATTAAAAGTTATGTATTTTGAAAAAATAAATATTGGGAGGATATATTTTTGAGTACCGACACGTGGCAAGGTGACGCCGACGTGTCAGCCGAGGTGCCACGTGTCCAGGTCATGTCGCCGAGGTGATCTCGGTTAAGCCGAGGTTATCTTCGAAGATATCAGAGTCCAAGATAAGCGGATAAAGGACAAGAGTCCTAGAATGAGGGAAGACTTCAAGATGGATAAGGATAATGTTCTTAAGAAATCTATCATTATCTCTTGAGGAGTCCAAAGTATATACTGAACAGGAGTCCATAGAGGTCAGGCTTCTAGTGGGACAAGGATTGAGTTAATTATAAAAGAGAGGCACCCCCGTGGGTCTAAGGTACGCAATTTATATTCTGAACAGTGAGATTTGCACTATTGATTATCTTTGAGAGATATACTGACTTGATTGTCGGAGTGCCCCCGGGTGGACGAACCACCGCTGGAATCTTCTCTTTCTGTTACAGGTTAGCCAGGTGTCATCTATTCTGCCAGTGTTCTCCAGCTGAATACTGAGTCGGGCAATGTGATCAGAAAATTACCCACACAATTTGGCGCCGTCTGTGGGAACGAAAGTAGAATAAATGGCCAGTAACGCACAGAAAGAAAAGATTGGAGACGACGCTCCTGCTGGGAGTGGGAGACCGATTGACCTCGATATCACAAGAGACGAGTACAACGTAGAAACTCATGACCAGAATCACAGAATGAAAGACGCCAGCCAGACTGGCGACGTACCAAAGAAACCTGATCAAAGCAGGTACTACAACGAGGACGACCTCCAAGTTTGGAAGGACAGGTGCCTACGAAGGGACGAAGAGGTAAAAGAGATGGCAAACAAATTGGCAGACCTGCAGTCGGTTGTCAATTTCATGATGCAAAACAACGTCATGCAGCCACCGTTCCCGCTACAGGACACGCCGGTCCCAGCAACCAATGCCCAAAAGGGAGAGCAAAAAACAATCCCCGTAGCCCCTCAGCACAATGGGAGCGACAGATACTCTCACCGACCTTCTAGGGAAGTCGGACGAAGAGAGTCCAGAAGAGAAGAATCACGGAGGACGCATCGCACAAAGGAGACAAACCCCAAAGGACATCGGCATGTTCAGGGGCAGGCACTGTGCTTCGACACAACTCGTGGAGAAGGGTCGAAAAGGACTCTCCATGAAGCTGAAAGTAGCGCACCAAAAAGACTGAAAGCAGGAGACAGCCGAGCTCCTGGACGGACGAAGGAGGACTTAAGAGATTACCTCAAGAGGAAGCAATAGAATGCCGACACCGAGGTAAACTCCCTAGATAAGCCGAGGACACCATTCTCGGTGGAATTACACAGGTTTGAGGCGCCAAAGAGATTCAGTATGCCGAGGTTTCAAATATAAGATGGCAAGTCAGACCCCAACTTCCACGTTGGACTATATTTGAACTCAATGGCATTGTATAGTGGGAACGAGCCGTTGCTCTGCAAAGTTTTCCCCTCATCTTTTGGGGAGATTGCATCAGATTGGTTCCACAAATTACCGAAGGGAAACGTAAAGACTTGGGAAGGCCTGGTTGAGATGTTTGTGGCTAGGTTCGTGACAAACAAGCTGCAGCCATTAAGGGTGGACGCACTAATGGCCCTGAAGATCAGCAAGGATGAAGGCCTTAGGGCCTATGCAAAAAGATATTATGAGGTGTTCAATCGAATACCCGAATGTAATCAAGAGGTGGCGGTTGTATCTTTCAAAAATGGCCTGAAAGACAACTGTCCACTACGAAAGTCTTTGGCAAAAACATTGCCAAAAAGTATGGAAGAGCTCATGGCGAGAATCGAGAAATATGCCAGAGCCGAAGAAGACACATCGGGAACTAGGGAGATAAAACAAGAGAAAGGAAATGGCTCGCCAAAGCGAGGCCGAGGTAACAATGGATCGAACAAGCAAGAGGCAGAATTGAGGGCCACACAAGCTGTAACAACTGTTTTCGAATCCCGATTCCCAAAGTCCTGGACCGGATTCGAAACCAGCCCTATTTCAGAACACCAGAAAGGACTCCAGGAGAGTTCATGGGAAGAAACATTGGCAGACATTGTGCCTATCACAATGAAGATGGACATACAACTCAGGGTTGTAGAGCCCTGAAAACACATTTAGAAGACCTAGTGAGACAAGGACATCTGAGAGACCTTGTCGATGAGACCAGGACAAGGGAAGAACAAGCAAGATTGCCTCAGGCGCCAGCAGCTCCCCCTCCTCCAGCACCACAACCTCAAACAAGAGGACCTCGGGTAGTCAATGTAATTCACTCGAAGGTCAACGAGAACCAAATTAGGGGGGAGACCCAGAAAGTGAAGCACCTGCAACATGTCTACCAAGTCGGGGAGAAGAGACATAGGGCAGAGGAACGCCAAGGACAAATAGTATCCTCTTCAGAAGCCGACCTTGAGATGGTACAGCATCCGCATAATGATGCCTTGGTAGTATCCCTCCAGGTTGGGGAGTGCCAAGTAAAACGCATCCTGATTGACCAAGGCAGCTCTTGCGACATCATGTACGTTCGATGTTACAAGGAGCTCGGCCTTCACCCAGACGATATGGAACAATCTAATAGCCCAATGGTCGGGTTCAATGGAACGCCGACATGGCCACTGGGAATAACCAGCTTTGAGGTGCAAGCAGGCACCAAAAAGGTAACAACAGAGTTCACTGTAATCGACACACCTTCCCCTTACAACATCATCTTGGGAAGGCCATGGTTGCATGCAATGGGGGTAGTTCCCTCAACATTGCATTAACTATTGCGATTCCCAACAGAGCATGGGATAGAGGAAGTCAGAGGCGATCAGCTGCGGGTGAAGAATTGCTCCATGGCAGCAATGAAATCTACCTGCAGCATACGAGAGCCAGAAAAGGCAGAAATTGAAGATGAGGACGTGGAAGTCCTAGAAGACGTTGGCAAGGAACTAGCCGAAAAGAGCGAAGAGGCATTGAAGAAAATCCTCGTCCACTATGGGGATGAAGAATGCTTCTTTCTTCTCGGCTCAGGCTTAGCCGAAGAAGAGGAAAAGAGTTGGAAGCTTTTCTGAGAACAAATATTGAGGTGTTTGCTTGGACACCTTACGAAATGCCTGGCATTGACCCCGAGGTCACTTGCCACAAACTGAATGTCGATAGGTCGGCAAAACCTGTAATTCAACGAGCTAGAAGACCGACATTGATGCACGTCGAAGTAGTAGAAGAAGAAGTAGACAGACTTCTAGAGGCAAAAGCCATTAGAGAAGTTCACTACCCAACATGGCTATCCAATACAGTGGTGGTAAAGAAGAAGAACAGAAAATGGAGGGTCTGCGTAGACTTTACTAGCCTCAACAAAGCATGTCCCAAAGACAGCTTTCCCCTGCCCAAGATTGACCAGCTAGTAGATGCCACTTCAGGGCATGGAAGGATGAGCTTCTTAGATGCCTACAGGGGGTACCACCAGATAGCCATGTACCCCACAGACGAAGAGAAGACCGCATTCATCACCCCAAAAGGCCTGTACTGTTATAGAGTAATGCCTTTCGGGTTAAAAAATACAGGAGCAACTTACCAAAGGTTGGTAACCAAAATGTTCAAACACCTGATTGGCCGAACAGTAGAAGTCTACATCGACGACATGGTCGTCAAGACCAAGGAACCTGAGGGCCATCTCGCCGATCTAAAAGCAGTCTTTGGAATACTTAAAACATATCGACTCTGACTCAATGTATCGAAGTGTGCATTTGGAGTTGGATCTGGTAAGTTTCTAGGATACCTAGTGACAAGAAGGGGCATCGAGGCCAGCCCAGATCAGATCAAGGCCATCCTAGAGTTGAAGAGCCCGACGTTGGCAAAACAGGTGCAGATGCTAACTGGAAGGGCCACAGCCCTGAACAGATTCATCAGCAGAAGCTCAGACAAATGCAGACCTTTCTTCAACTTGGTGAAGAAAGCCACAAACTTCCTGTGGACTGAAGAATGCGAAGCCGCTTTGGCCAACCTAAAGAAGTACTTAACCACAACTCCAGTTCTTTCAAATCCAGAACCTGGGGAGGAGCTGTTCCTGTACTTAGCCGTTTCAGAACATGCGATAAGTGCAGTACTAATCCGAGAAGAAAAAGGGGAGAAAAGGGCAATTTACTATGTAAGCAAAACCCTAGCCGATGCAGAAACGAGGTATCTACCCTTAGAGAAATTGGCACTGGCTTTAGTAATGGCTTCAAAGAAGTTGAACCATTACTTCCAGGCCCATAAAATTATGGTGCTGACAGAACAGCCCTTGAAATCCTTACTGCAACAAGGAGACCTGACAGGAAGAATTGCCAGGTGGGCAGTCACCCTAGGCCAGTATGACCTGGAGTATAGGCCAAAGACAGCAGTCAAAGGCCAGGTTCTGGCCGACTTCGTGGCCGAGTTCACGCCAGAATCCGTCGAACATCGGGCTCCGTTGAGCTAGGATGAACGATGTCCAACCAAGCAAGGAGAAGCTCAGCCAAAGGCGAAAGAACAAAGGAAAGAGGACAAACTCAAACCCTGCAGCATTTACATCGGCGACTCCTTTCGACTGTTTGTTGATGGGAGTTCAAACCGACAAGGAGCGGGGGTAGGAGTAGTGCTTATATCTCCAAATGGACAGATAATCCATTCGTTTGGGGTTCAAAGCCTCAAACAACGAAGCAGAATATGAAGCACTCATTGTAGGACTAAAGCTGGCAGCAGCAGTACAAGCAGATGAGGTAATAGTTTTTTGTGATTCACAACTGATAGTTAACCAGACAACAGGCGAGTTTACAACCCGACATGAACGAATGTCGGCCTACAGAAAAGAGGTCATCAGGTTGTCAGCCTTATTTCAGAACTGCCGACTACTTCAGGTAAGCCGAGATGACAATAGCCACGCCGATGCATTGACCTAACTAGCTAGTGCAGTACAACCTGGAAAAGTAAGGACCATAATGGTTGATTACTTGTCGGGCCCAAGCATCGAACCACTGACCACAGAGCGCGAAGCAATGTGTGTAGACATGGGACCAAGTTGGATAGATGTAATTGTTGCATTCCTGAAAGAAGGAAAGCTGCCAGAAAACAACAAGGAGGCACACAAGGTCAGATTGAAGTCGGCAAGGTTCAGTCTGATAGCAGAGGGACATCTCTATAGAAGGTCCTTCACTGGACCCCTTTTAAGGTGCGTACACCCTTTGCAGGTTGAAAATTTTTTATATAAAATTCACGAAGGAATTTGTGGAAGCCACGCTGGGGGCAGATCACTAGCTCACAGGGCCATTACCCAGGGGTGTTGGTGGCCTTACATGCAAAAAGATGTAGAAGCCTATGTGAAGAAGTGTGAACAATGCCAAAGGTTTGCACCTTTGATACACCAGCCAGCTGCTGACCTGAACCCTATATCCAGTCCTTGGCCATTTGCCCAATGGCGCATGGATCTCGTTAGACAATTGCCCCAAGCAACTGGAGAAAGAAAGTACTTGCTGGTAGCAACAGATTACTTCACAAAGTGGATAGAAGCAAAACCTCTCGCCAAAATCCGAGATGTGGATGTAAAGAACTTTATTTGGAAAAACATTATCACCAGATTTGGAATTCCAAGAGCAATTGTTGTAGACAATGGAACTCAATTTGACAGCAAGCTAATCAAGAACTTCTGTGCAAAGTTCAAGATCAAGAACTACTTTTTCAACTCCAAGCTTTCCACAAAGCAATGGACAAGCAGAAGCATCCAACAAAGTAATCCTAGATGGGATAAAGAAGAGGTTGCAGGCAGCAAAAGGAAAGTGGGTAGACGAATTGCCCAATGTACTCTGGGCATATCGGACTACGCTGAGAAGATCAACAGGGGAATCCCCCTTCGCCATGGCTTATGGCACAGAAGCAATCATTCCGCTGGAGATCGGCATCCCAGGAATCAGAACCCAGGGAGTAGAGAACGGGACTAACGATATACTCTTAGCCCGAGATCTGGATCTTCTAGAAGAACGAAGGGAGAAAGCTGCAATTCAGCTCGCAGCATACCAGCAACAGCTTGCCAAAGCTTATAACAAGAAGGTTAACCAAAGAGAATTTCAGATTGGTGACCTCGTCCTAAGAAAAGTCGTCGGCAACAAGAAAGTCATCGACAACAAGAAGGATCCTAGAGAGGGCAAGCTTGGCCCAATTGGGAAGGGCCGTACAGAATCATTTCAGTACTGGGTAATGGGGCATATCGGCTTGAAGATAATAAGGGCAAAGAGTTGCCAAGACCTTGGAACACTTGTAATTTGAAATTTTTCTATCATTGAGATTTGACTTGTTTTTGCCGACGTCATAAATAAAATTTTAGCAAAAATTCTTCAACACTTGTGACTGATAAAGATACATGATGTTGTTTCTGGAACGAATAAATAATGAGAACCCAAGTGAAACTTAGGTTCACATTAGGGGGCAGAAAGAAGACAAAAATGTTTAACACTTGTTGAAATTTGTGGACAATTTACAAGTTAAGTTAAACCAAAATCATTGTTTAACACTTGTTGAAATATGTGGACAATTTACAAGTTAAGTTAAACCAAAATCATTGTTTAACACTTGTTGAAATTTGTGGACAATTTACAAGTTAAGTTAAACCGAAATCATTGTTTAACACTTGTTGAAATTTATGGACAATTTACAAGTTGAGTTAAACCAGTATGATGTTCAACACTTGTTAAAAGTTTACAAGTTAAGTTAAACCGAGAAGTTTGGCTATCCGAGGTGTGTCACCCCGAGAAGATTACACAAAGAAGGAAAAGTATGTGAAAGACATACAGAATATTCTAAGTATAGAATCATACAGAAGTAGTAAAGAGAAGACAAAGATACAAACACTCAGGGAAGGAAAGTTGTAGTAATATTCAGAAAAGGCACGTCGGCCAAAAGGTTACAATTGTTCCCATAAAAGAAAAGCAAACGTACAAAAGACAAAAGAAAAGACATGGAAATTAAGATTCCTCAGCATCAGCAACAGGTTGGGTTTGGACCTCGGAAGGCTGTTGAGAAGCCACCTCGGCCGCCTTTTCTGCAGCAAGCTCAGCATCAATTTCTTGTAAAATTTCGTCAAGGCTCTTATCGGCAATGGTAACGTCGGCTGATACCTTCTCAGGAGCAACGTCTTCAGGAGTCTCATCACCTTCCTCATATTGAGTCAAGTCTAGGACTTGCTCATTTTGAGGAGGGGACTTGACCCCAGCAGCATCTTTTGGCTTCTTGACCAAAATCTCCTCCTCAGATTCAGAATCACTGCCAGATTGAGCAAGAGTTAGAGTTGGGGCTGGAAGGAATGGAAGAGGAATGAGGTCGGCATTTCTGAAGGGCGAGTCCTCGGGGACATTGAGCTTCTTTAGAAGAGACATCCAACCAAGGGTGAAACCCTTGTTGCATGTCTGCGTCACTTGAAGTTCATAAGCCTCCGTGACATCGGCCATACCTTGAGCGTATGCCTTCTCGTCGGCATCCTTGATTTCAGCTTCTTTCGTGGCCAAGGCCTCTTGAAGCTCCTTTTGGGCCTGTTCCATCATTTCCTCGGCCTCTCTTTTTTGGGCCTCAGAGACCTTCTTGATGGCCTCGGCAGATTTTGCCTTCTCTTCGGCGTCAGTTTGGGCTTTGATTGCAGCCTCGGCTTGGTCTTCCAGCTTCTTCATTTTTTACTGTAAGCCTTTATTGGTCTTTTGAAGAGAGGAGAACTCCATCTTCATCTCGGCCAACTTCTCTCGGTTTTCAAAAGACTGAATTGAAAAGGAATGAGCATGCTGAATGGCCTGAAAGTGAACAAAACGAAAGTTATTAGAAAATTTCTAAGTATGAAAAAGAAGGAAAAAAATACCAGATGAAAGACACTTACTTGAACCGAACGCTGAAGCATCAAGGCATAGTTCTCGTACTTGCTGAAACCGGCGTTTCGCTCCAGATCGCCTGGTAGCAACAGAGCAGTACTGAGCGCAACGCCGACATTTATATCCTTGGCGCTATCATTGGCCATGACTGGCTTATCCTCCAAAGTAATTTCGGGAGCCCAGGGGGCAGCAGGCTTCTTAGACCCCGAGGTGGTCGCAAAAAATGACCTCGGCTTTTTTGATTTTGGCGATTCGGATGGTTGGGCCTCAGAGCGCCTCTTCCCAGCAGAGGGTTGAGATTTATCACTCTCAGCCAACTTGGATATCGGCAAAGCATCCTCAGACTTAACTTGGGTAACTTTAGCCTTTGGCTGAGCTTTTTTTATTCTTTTTGGCTTCGGTGGAGGCAGGGTTTGTGTTGGTTGTGCATCAACATCAGAAGGGATGCTGGCCAAGAGATCTTTTACAATTGGTTTTGGGCGACCCATCTCTGCAGTAGAAACTGTTCGGCGTCGACGACGACGTTGTGATATTGGAATCAAGTATGGAGCCGAGGTTGATGGCTGATCAGCTGGATCGGAAGTTAACCCTTGATCTGTCCGAGATGTGGACGCAGTCTGAGGAGTTGTGGCAGAAGGTGGAGAAAGGCTTTTCTTCTTCCTCTTAGGGACGTCGGGCAAAGCTGACTTATAAGTTGGAATAAAGTTGAGGAGCAAAGACGCCTTCCGTTTGTGAACCAGAAGGTTCAGTAGCTTCTTCAAATCCTTGTTGGGGAGGAAGGATTGGCGAAAGTTCTTTAGAGGGTGAGGAAAAACTGCAGAAATAGAACATCACAGACATTAGAACAGAATATTAAAAAACTTTGTGCAAGAAGATAAAGAAATTTATGAAGGGTGGCCCTTACCAGCTCATTCCCCGAAAACAGTTCGGCTTAAGGGATAAAGATGGAGGTCATTGTTTGGCTGAAACTCCCAATTTCCCGAGACGATGAAGTAATCGTCTCCAGCTCCCTTGTTGGAGTCTGGGAGGTCAGCTATGATTTTATATTCAATGGATCTCGGCTTGAGGTAGTAGACATAGTCTGTGTCTTTTCTAAGGCGACACATGGTATAACAGTATTGGAAATCGGCAAGCGTAATCCTGGCATTCTCTTGTTTGACTAAAGCTATGGTACCAGTAATAACTCGGTAAGAATTGATGGCGAGTTGCATTGGGTTCAACTTATAGAAGTGAAGGATTTGACGGAAAAAAAGGGTCAAGTGGAAACCGAAGTCCACACTCAATGAAGGCAACTACAGGGAAAGGCATGGAATGATCAGTAGGCATGATGGAGTCATCATCCCCAGCCAACCTCAGATGGACGTCGGCTGGGATTTTAAACTCTTGTCTAAAGAATTCTACTTTGGATGTGGTGTCTACCCGATGTTTCCACATACCCATAATGTCGGGATAACTAAAGGTACTGGATTTTAGAAAGAAGATGTTTCAAATAGGGTTATCGAGACCTCGACAAAAACCTAGGTTTGAGCTGGTGCAGAAATTTGTAAAGGAATGTTTCAGTTTTTCCTAAATTGTGGGTTCTACAGACAAATCCCAAAATCTAAATCTATGGAAACGAAGATTGAAGGCACAAATCTGAAAAAGACACAAAAAACAGAAACAAAAACGAGTTTCAGAATCAAGAACAGAGATGATCTATCAAGAGCATAAAGAATACAAGAAGTATAGGGCCAAGAACAGTGGCAAAAGTACAGAGAAATGGTAAAACAGTGCGTGTGTTCAAGATATGGGCAAGGGTAAAATCGTGGAAAAACACATTCAGATGTATGATTCACAAGTTAAAGGTTTGAACAAATACAGTAATGGCAGCAAGTAATAGAAAACATCAAAGAATTGAAAACGGCAGGAACAGTAGACTCACCGAAGAAAGGAAGCCGGTGTAAGAATCGCCGAAGTCAATCAATGGTTACAGAAGTAACAGAACGGCAGAAGCTTCACCAAAAAAGAAGAATGAAGGCAGTTGCAGAGCTTGAGGTCTGAAACAATGGCGTATACAAAGGATAGAGAGAGAAAAAGCAAAGGAATTGATGTAAAAGTGAAGAGAACGAAAGAGGGAAAACAAGTTTTGTCAAATAATTGAAACGGCGGCAAAAGAGGACAATAAATGCTCCTGGGACAGCGAATGCGTCAGACGGCGCATATAGGCACGGAACAACTTATAGGCGCGTCACAAGCACGATCCAATAAAGATGAAATGCGTGAATGAAAACGGTTGAAAAGTGATGTTTGACAGCTCATACGCATAAAGGAGTTCATTGGAATTCTTGATCTTTAAGAAGACATGTCGACCTATGATGATGATCTCGGATTAAATCGATGAATTAGCATGGGGCACAAATATAGGTTCCATCACCTCAGAATACCCGAGGTAATAGAACCTAGGGGCAGTTGTGAGGATATATTTTTTAGTACCGACACGTGGCAAGGTGACGCTGACGTGTCAGCCGAGGTGCCACGTATCCAGGTCATGTCGCCGAGGTGATCTTGGTTAAGCTGAGGTTATCTCCGAAGATATCGGAGTCCGAGATAAGTGGATAAAGGACAAGAGTCCTAGAATGATGGAAGACTTCAAGATGGATAAGGATAATGTTCTTAGGGAATCTATCCTTATCTCTTGAAGAGTCCAAAGTATATACTGAACAGGAGTCCATAGAGGTCAGGCTTCTAGTGGGACAAGGATTGAGTTAATTATAAAAGAGAGGCACTCCCGTGGGTCTACGCAATTTATATTTTGAACAGTGAGATTTGCACTATTGATTATCTTTGAGAGATATACTGACTTGATCGTCGGAGTGCCCCCGGGTGGACGAACCACCGCTGGAATCTTCTCTTTCTGTTACAGATTAGTCAGGTGTCATCTATTCTGCCAGTATTCTCCAACTGAATACTGAGTCAGGCAGTATGATCAGACAATCACCCACACAAATATTATGAAAATTCTTTTTAAAAAAAATGTATGGTGAAATTCAATAATGGGGTATAGTCACATCAAAAAATAAATACGATCCACTTATTTAGGGTTCGTTTAGGATGCGAGTTGGCTTTATAACTTTTTAGCTATTTTAATCTGGGGCTAAAAAGTCTTGTTTGGGATAGACATTTTGTCTTTTTCGACTTTTGTAAGAGAAAAAATAAAATGATTATGATTTGGATGTGACGTTTTGTGTTATTAACTTTTTAGTTTATTTTGTCTTTTTTGTTACTAAAATAGCAAAAAAAATCAAAAAGTTTGACATGCCAAAGGCTTAATTTTCTGAGTAATTTTTTTGTGATGTTATCAATGTTGTTGTTAACTTGATTTTTGTTAATTGAAGACATAATTTTTAAAATTGGCAAGTAATCGGCTTTTTTAGCAAGTTATCAAATTGTCCCTCTAACAAAATGAATGGTGATTGTATACAAATCTTTAAATATTTAACATAGGACAAAATTTGTTTTATTGTATATTCAACAAAAGAATGTTAACATTCTACAGTTGCTTGAAGATTTAATAATTGCCAATATTCAAATTTCTAGTCATTAAAAGATTACTGTAAAATGCAGTCTATCAAATAGATAATTTGTTATTTGGTAATAGTAGAATTAATTTTTTTTAAAAAAATTAGAATACTCAAAATATGTAAAATAAATTTAAATTTAATATTATGTAAACTACACCAGAATGAATCTGAGCTGCACAATTTTTTTTGACAGCTTTTGATGCAACTCTTTTAATCCCTAGCATTGTTCTCACTGAAAAGACCAAAATATCCGAATAATGGGAAAATTCAAATAGAATATTTGAAAGCTCTGGTAACTTTAACTGGTTGTTAGTAAGTTTGAAGAAGATTCGAACATTTGAATTATCCACTGTAGTTCATGGAAGTCATAAAAAATAAACCAAATATTTTGAGTAGAAAACAAAAACAAAAATCAAGTCATTTGTTTTAGTCTTCTTATTTATGGATTAAGTTTTTCTTAAATTCAATTTTTTTTGTTTTTTTGAACTGGTAATTTGAACGTGACCATCAGGTTCATGCTCTTGACGCTTATCATAGGTCTCGTTTCAATAATTTAAACTATTTATTTTGTAGATTCTCCGTATATATTATCCATAAAAATAATTTGATAATGTAATTTTTTTATTTTATCACATTTATCATAAAAAATTAGATGGTCTATTTTTAAAAATATACATGTCATTTATTTTTTTTAAACAAACGTGATAAAATAAAAACGTTACAATTATGAAATTAATATAATTTTTTCAATAAATAATATACATGTAGAATTTTATAAAATGAATTATTCATATAATTAAAATGAGATCTGTAGTGAACCCAACAAACCCAAACATTAATTTAAGCCAATTCTTTTATTTATTTATTTTTTGGTTTCTTAATAGAAACATAACTAAGCACACAAATTAAATAAACTGTAATATACTTTTTCCTATAACTTCTTGTACTAGACCAACTCATAAAATGCAAATTGGGATTAAAAAAAATGTGGTCAATATCCCAAAAATGATATATATATATATATATATATATAAGTCTTAAATATCAGCCTATACATATTAGTATCTTTAACTTGTGATATTGTCACACCAACTAATAATGTCCAATACAGATCAATATTTAACTGTATTACTAATATCGATATGTATTTTAATATTATTATTTAAAATTATTATATCTATATATGAGACAAACTCTAAGGGATTAGTCTTGTGAGTGCAACTTAGGGTTCTGGGGTGTACTCTTGTAAATCTCAAGTTCAACCTCATTAGGAGCAATCCGTTACTTGGGATCATGTCTGCGAGTTTTACTCGAGATTTGTTCAATCCACGTAAAGGAACGCTTTGTGTGAGTCCTAAGATTAGTCCAGATGCGCGTAAATCGACCCAAATATCCGATTAGTATAGATTATGTTTAAACAATTAACAATTAACAATTAAATAAATGTTGATGTATAGATTATGTTTAAACAATTAACAATTAACAATTAAATAAATGTTGATGTATAGATTATGTTTAAACAATTAACAATTAACAATTAAATAAATGTTGATGTATAGATTATGTTTAAACAATTAACAATTAACAATTAAATAAATGTTGATGTATAGATTATGTTTAAACAATTAACAATTAACAATTAAATAAATGTTGATGTATAGATTATGTTTAAACAATTAACAAATGTTGATGTAATTAACAATTAACAAATGTAGATGTAATCAAATGTTGATGTATTAAAACATAATTTAATAGATGTTAAATAAATATACATGTTGATGTACAGATGTTGAAATAATTTAATAAACATGTTGATGTACAAATGTTTAGATAAAACATAATTTAAATAAATGAAATTATTTATTGTTGAAATTAAACATTTAATTGTTTAAATAAAACATCTATTAAAACATCTATTAAATTTAAATAATGAAATTAAATAAAACATAAACAAAATTTTAAAATAAAACATCAATAAAATATCTATAAAAAATTATTTTAAAAAATTAAATAAATAAAACATTAATAAAAAGTTAAATAAAATTATTTTATTTTTAAATTGAGACATTTAAATTTTATTGAATTTTATTAAATATAATACATAATTAAATAGTAGAGGGTCAAAATGGTCATTTTCGCATATAATCCAAACAGTGATTAGTCCCCCACTTTCTGTCCCACCCCCTCCCCCCCAGGACAGGATAGTCCCCCATATGGGGGACATGGAGTCCGGCCGGACATGGAGTCCGCCGGACTAAAAAAAAATCAAACGACGGATAAGGTGCACTATTTGGATAACAATCCAAATAGTGGATAGTCCCCCCTCCTAATCCCCCCAATCAAACACACCCTAAGGGTATTACTCTGTCTAGATCTCAGATTTAACTCCCATTAAGAACAATCTGTTATTCAATTAGCAAAAAATGTATATGAGACAAACAATCAACTTGTCTAGTTCTGGTTTTTCGAAAATAGTTTTCAAAAAAATCTACTTTTTTATTTTTCGTATTTTAATGCTTTCAATGATTTTTTTTAATATTTTAAGTAATTTTTTTAAGTTTTAGACACACCTAACATAAATATACTTAAAATGTATAATATTTGTGAAAACAATCTTTAAAAAATATATTAAATACCAAAAAATACGAAAAAAATATAAAAAATAGTACATTTTTTATATTTCTGTGTATTTATTAATTTTTAAAATATTTTTCACAAATATTTTACTATTTAGATACATCTAAGTAAGATGTATCTAAAAAAGTAAAAAAATTACTTAAAATTTTAAAAAATTTAACTAAAAAAAATACAAAACATAAAAAATTTAATTTTCAAAAAACTAAATTTAAAAAACTGAAATCAAAAATAAATTTTTTATGTAATTTTGAGCAAGAGAACATTGGGAGACCAAAGTGGGACTTGTGTGGGAAAAAAAATGACATGAGAGTGTAATGATTGGTAAGTGGAAAGATGGTGGTGACCGAAAGCGTGTGGAAAAGAGAGGAACTTTCCAAAAGATCATTTTCATAAAAAAAAATATTACAGTGATATCACATGGTGGCATAATAGTAGTTTAAGATTTTTAAAAATTTTAGATTAAATAGTAAAATAAAATCTTATTTAATAAAATTTAAAAAAAATTAAAACTTTTGACAATAAAAATTTATAATAAAAAAAATTGTCAGTAGGTGATAGTTTAATGGCTAAGTCACCGAACAATCTCAATTTACAACAAAAATTATACTATTATTAGATTTGTATAAAATAAAATAATTTTTTTATAATTTTTTTATTAAGCGATAACAAGATGTGGAATGGTGATCAACATTTTTCCCAATTTCACATGCATTGAAAGTGAAATGTAATGTGAGGATGACACAATGGTGACGGAGACACGTACACGCAAGTAGTGTAATCTACATAACATGGGTATAACAACTAATTGTTTTTTTTTTTTTTTTTTAGTTTTTCCAGCAGGCACCCCTTTTCCCAAGTATTATGAGTAATCTACACAGGGTTGAACGACCAATTGTTTTTTTTTTTTTAAATTATTTATAACAAAATAATTATAAGTATATAGCCACATCAGATTTATTTTATTTTATATTTTTAAAATTATATGTACTATTTATTTATTACAAAATCAAATTATAAAATCATATTACAAAAATTATCAAATTTATTTATTTTTTTATAAATAATTCATATACAAGAACTTTTAAATTGAACAAATAATAAACATAGACTATATAGCATATCCCAACAAAAAATCAAAGCGTTTATAAACTAATGCAACCATGGCCTAATTGAGTATTTGGACTATTAAAACTTAGAAATTAGTATCAGTAATATAATATATAATGTCTCACTTTTATTTGAATAAAAAAAAAATCTCTCTTTTATTAATACAGTTATTTTTAAGATTATAATAAAAATACACACCGCATAGAGAAATGTTGAAGAATGACTAGAAAGCATTATAGCTAATGGATGTGGTTGTCCAAATTAACTCTATGTTCCCATTTTTTTTTTTATATATATATATTCTAGTATCTGAAGGTATTTTTAATTACATAATATAATAAGAATCTCGATTCTTGAGATCTGAGAAATTTTAAGATTTTATTTTGCACCTAAAAACACATTGAAATAAAAAAATTTAAGAAAAAATAATATGGTGCTCAAAGTGGGAAATGTTAGATAATAGTAAAGTGAGATGCGTGGGCAAAAGAAAAGAAAAGCTATGGTAGTGGAAGAAAGATTGAAAAAAATAAAATAAAATCTTTCGTGCAGTTTTTACTTTCTTTATTTCTTATCATTAAAAAAACAAAAAAACACAATTAGGAGGGAGTTGGTAAGACCCCTTTGGTGGGGTGATTGGTGGTAATTTCGGATTATGGTCCGTGATATCTTTCGTAATAGATTATTAGAAAGTTAAAAATTATTAAGTTATTAAAAAAGAGTAATATTCACATGATGGTGACACTATATGAATATTGTGTAGAATATTTGATAATTCATTTAAAATTTTTAACATATTTATTCAAGAAATTTAAAAGTCAAGAAAATTATATAAAAAAGTTAAAAATTACTTCTCGTAATCTTTATTTTTTTTATATGTTTTTTCGTAAGAAGGTAAGTCACTCTCAAATATTTTATTTTTTTCATCCCATATTTTAACTAGAAAGTCACTAAAAAAATCATTTTTCCAAACCAATCTTAAAGTCAATCTATATTAATATTGGGTAGGAAACTTCCTTTCTAATTCTATGAATTTTTATTTTTTCTATGGGTGAGGTGACATGTTTCAATCCAATTATCAAGTAAAGCAATTAGTTATATCAATACTATATATTCGAGAGAAAAAAAATACTATCAAAATTTTAAATATATAAATTAAATTTATTTTAAACACAACTTACACTATTTTAAATTTGTATTTTTGGCATAAACTAATCTCCAATTGAGTAAGCCCACATAGTTAATATAATTTGAGTAGTACATTTTCTATGTGCAAATTATTCATTAAAAAAATAAATTAATGAGATAATTATAATTAAATAATTTTATCATATTTTTTGGATAAATTACAAATACATCTCCTGAGATTTGCTTAAAGTATAGATTACCCGATGTGGTTTGAAAAATTTATATATATGTTTCTCATTAAATATATTAAAATAATGAGATTAAAACTATCATATTAATCCATTACACAAAATTATTTAAATTAGGCTTTGTCCTAGTCGACTTAGACCTATTTTGGAAATTTGATTAAAAATTATTTTTTGACTCTTAATCTATTTTGGATCATATCGTCTCTTTATTATTTCACATTTTTAAAAAAAAAAAATCTAAAAAATATCAAAAAATTAACTTTTTAACTTATTTTTGCAAAACCAGCCATTAGAGTTTAGACTACGCCCACACACAAGACTAGACTGAGAGAAACTACACTTTTTATTTATTTATTTATTTTTCATAGTACAAAACATTTTCAATATTCAACGTCAAACGTGGACCCAACCCTATTTTACGTCAGACCAATTTCATTGGCTTGTTCAACATTAAATCTGGACCATAAGATAGTTGTGGAAAATTTATTTAGTAATTTTAGGATAAATTTATATTAACAGTGCGAACAATACAAAATAAATCATAGAATAGTTTATAGAAAGTGTAATGAAAGACTGAGATAAACTCAATTATAGAACGATTCACATTCATATTAAATCTCAACCTACCATTACACTTTATATGATCCATTCTATATTATAAATGATTCATTCTATATTTTAATTATGTGTTTTCAGTATTAGTAAATCTATATTAATGAATATAATTTTGGACAATTTGGCCATTGGTTTTCTAATTATATTGATTTTACTTTTCAATTTTTCACGTTATGTCAGTTTAGTACAATTGATAATATCTCTTTAGAAATTAAATTGATCAATAGATAAAATAATTCATTCACTATTTTCAAAATGATTGGAGAGTTATTGTTAATTTTAAATTTGTCCATTTCCTTTTGAAAATATCATTTTACCCTTGCTTTTTGTCTAATTCTTAATGGATGTTATCAATTTGTCTAATTTCACAAAATGTCAAAATTAAAGACAAGATTGATATAATAGAAACTATATATCTAGATTGGCATAAGATATAAATTATAAGAATCACAAGTACAATTTTTCTTATAATTTTTTAAATGTAAATCCTAGTATTCATTTTTTAAAAAAATATTGTTCACTTATATATATTTTATATTTAATTTTGTGATCGATTTCATACCAAAATGGAAAACAATAGAAGATGGAAGGGGCATATTTACCTATACCACGTGTTATTGGCGGCGAACCTTCATTATGCTCTGTAGATAATCATAAAACATGAGAAATCATTAGCGCAAATATTATAACAATGCAAACTCTAATTGTGAAATATATGAGAATTCTGATGTAATCTCTACCCTAATTTCCATTTTAATGGTCTACTTGTAAAAATTTACTTATATATATAAAAGAAAGAAGAAAGAAAGAGCGAATGGAAACAAGATTATGGATACAAGTTCTTGTTTCTAAGACTAAAATTTGCACCAAGAAAGAAAGAAATAATTGAAAAATGTTGGACCATGGACTACAACCACTCTAAAAACAAGCATGCGGACCATGGACGGATCTAGATGAATGTCATAAAAAATATAAGTGAATTATTTTTTAAACACCAATTGATTTTAGAGAAGATAGTGAAACATAGTCTGACCAGAAAAAATGATAAAAAGGACTAAGTTTCACTAGGCTTGCCGTAGTCACATGTTTTGGAAGGTTATTTATTGGAGCGAAGACAGGTAAATTTGTTATTAATAGAACCACAGTTCCCTCCACTTCTCTTGCGATCACTACAATAATATTCACTCCATTGCAAAACAACCCTCTTCTCAAAACATCAGTGAAATTCATTTGCAACGATGTCTTTATATCTCCACTCTTCACAGGCGCATTCACTCAAGAATTGCACGAGTCAATCGAATAATTCCCATACTCCAAAACCTCCTTGTGAAAAACAACAAATGATAAATCGGTAGCATTGCTTGCACAATCAACTCGATACGTCGGTTCTTTAATAGGATACGTTGAACAATTGTACAATTGTAGAAGAAGAGATCGACATAGCTAAGACTATAGTTGTATGGAGTTCCCTCAATGCTAAAATTATGCAGAGGAATTGGACAAGCATTTTCAAAATCATAGACCATGGAATTGGCCAAGAGAAATGCTTATTGGTGTAGAGTATTTCTTCGATGACATAATCATCAATATTGTTGTTAACTTGATCCACTTATTTAATTTTCTGAATAATTTTTTTGTGTGTGTAATGTTATCAATATTGTTGTTAACTTGATTTTTGTTAATTGAAGACATAATTTTTAAAATTGGCAAGTAATCGGCTTTTGATCTCTAGTTTGGTTAACTTAATCTAGATTCTAACAAAATGAACGGTAATTGTATACAAGTCTAGGAATGGCAATGGGGTGGATATTAATTCCCCATCCCCATTCCCCTATAATAAATTTTCCCCATTCTCCATTCCCCATTCCCCATGGGTACCACCCTCCCCATTTTTTAATGGGTATGGATTTTCCCCAACCCACTTTAATCCCCATTTTTATTTTTTATATTTAATGTTAACAACCATTTTTTTTTTTTTTTTTTTTTTTTTTTTTTTTTTTAGGTTCACAAAAAACTAAGATATCACTTCCAATCTTTTTTCTTTCTTTTTAAATATATTTAATGTTAACAATTTTTTTTTATTTTTTATTTTTTATTTTTTTTAAGGTTCACAAAAAGTTAAAATATACCTTCAATCTTTTTTTCTTATTTTTTAATATATTTAATGTTAACAAATTTTATTTATTTATTTATTATTTTTTTTTTAAGGTTTACACAAAAGTTAAATAACCCCTAGTGGCAACACTCAATTGTTTTGGTGTACTTTTTTAATATACAATATACTTCAATCTTTTTTTTTTCTTTTTTAATTATTTAATGTTAACAGTTTTTTTTTATTTTTTTATTTTTTATTTAAGGTTCACAACAAAAGTTAAATATACCTTCATCTTTTTTTCTTTCTTTTTTAATATATTTAATGTTAACAACCTTCTTTTTTTCTTTTGTCTTTTTTTTATAAAGGTTTTAGCTAAATATACCTTCAATCTTTTTTCTTTCTTTTTTAATATATTTAATGTTAAACTTTATTTTTTTATTTTATTTTTTATTTTTTAAGGTTCACAACAAAAGCTAAATATACATTCAATCTTATTTTTATTTTATTTGGTTCAACAACAAATCAAATACACATTAATTAATTAATTAAAAAGTTATTTTATAATAATCAATATATATTTTTGAGAAAATCAAAAAGTTTGTTTGAAGAAAGTGTTATAAGACTCATATTAAATTGCATCAGGGCATAAACAAGGAATTGTTAGCCACGGACAATTTAGACATTAAATCATCTTTCTCTTAGCAAATTTTGAACAATTCATTTTAATTTATCCAAAATCTAATATATCCTTTAACAAATCTGAACCACTCATTTTAAGATATCTATGCATTACCACACCAATCCATCCTCCATCTTCTTCCTTTAGTCCCCCACGAATTTTGTTGTTTGTCACTTTTAAAAAACAAAAAATGTTTTTTTCAATTAAATTTTTACTAATTTCAAACACCATCACCACTATTCTCACTTTCACTGTCACACTACCATCACCATAGCCACTACCATCATCACTGCCGCCATCACCCCACCACTATGTAACAATTTCTACTTTCACCTTCGTTCCATCACCACCACCACCAATATAAAAAAATATATTTTGAATTTTTTTATAAAAAATTTTTTCATTAAAAATATTTTTCTATCTAAATAAATGAAGCATAACATTGGGAAACAAGCTGATTTCAGTTAAATCTGTTCATAACTAAGAAAATTCTTTTAATTTAAAAAAAAATTATTTAGTATGACTTTGTATCCCCTTTTTATTTTTCTAGCAAAATAATCTATGTACCATCATTTCTAACCAATAACAACTCATGCTTGTTTGATTCTCTAAATTTCCTTATTTTCAAATCATTCATATATATATATATATATATATGTTGTATAAATTGTGTGATAACAATAAAACAATAGATTCATACTCGTTAATTGAATTTTCAGAACAAAGCAAACCATTCTGAAAATTACAATACACAACAAAATAAAATAACATAGAAAAGCAAACCGAAAACATACACTAGACATATGTCCTTAATTTTTTTTAAATAAATTTAAAAATTCTAGATATGCATAAAATTTGAACAGAATAATGTGACAATGTTATTAATGTGTATTTGATTTTATTGTTGAGCCAAATAAAATAAAATAAGATTGATGTATAGCTTTGGTTGTGAATCTCAAAAAAAAAAAAAAAAAAATGGTTTGAACCTTAAAAAAAATTTAAAAAAAAATTAAATATATATTTAAGCTTTGGTTGTGAATCTTAAAAAAAAAAATTAAAAAAATGGTTGTCAACCTTAAAAAAAATTAAAAAAGGAAAAAAAATTAAATGTATATTTAGCTTTTGTTGTGAATCTTAAATTAAAAAAAAAAAATGGTTGTGAACCTTAAAAATAAATAAAAAAAAGATTGGAGGTATATTTAGCTTTGGTTGTGGATCTTAAAAAAAAAAAAAAAAAAAAAAAGGTTGTGAACCTGAAAAAATAAATAAATAAAAAAAAAAGATTGAATGTATATTTATTTTAGCTGTGAATCTTAAAAAAAAAAAAAAAAAAAAAAAAAAAAAAAAAAACATATGGGGAATTAGTTGGGTACCCAATCCCCACCCATCCCCTGTGGATATTTAAAGAAAATACCTACCCTACCCAATGGAATAGAAAAAGAGGGGAAAACCCATGTATTTGGGTTGGGTCTCCATGGATACCACAGGTAGTTATCCATTGCCATCCCTATACAAGTCTTTTAATATTAAACTTGGACAAAATTTGTTTTATTGTGTATTCAACAAATGAATGTTAACATTCTCAAGCTACAAGCCTGTTTTACAATACAGTTATTTTTAAGATTATAAAGAAAAATACACACCGCATGGAGAAATGTTAAAGAATGGTTGTTGATTGCCGAAATTAACTCAATGTTTCCTTTTTTTTTTTTTTTATTCTAGTATCTGAAGGTATTTTAATTACATAATGAGAGGGTAATTTATATGAAAAATTGGGCCGAGATGGGCAATGGCTGTCATGGGCCACAATACGAAGGGCTGAGTAAAAAGCTTTGAAGTTAGTCCGGTCCGAAGAGACTTGGATTAGGCCGTCTAAAGACGCTTTGAAGTAAATCCGGTCTTAGAGTTAGCCGCGTCATGGCGTATTGTGGTTAGACCGGTTAGAACCTTAACTATTCGATTGCTCGGTCTAATCACCCATTCTTTGTACATGGGAAACCGAGTAAAGGAGTAGTGAAAAGAAGAACCGAGCTAAATATAGTTCGACCTACTCTGCGACTCAGCATAGCCATGATTACCTCGATCCTATTAGAATCTGACTATGGTAGAAACCATTCTCTCTGGTTTGAGCAGTGAGGGGGGTGTTGAGGATAAGTTATTATCTTTCAGAGTATAAATCCTAGGAGGACTCTACATGGAGGAGTAAGAGTCCTATTAGGATTGTGCCACGCGGAACTCATAAAAGTTTTCATAACATCACCTATGGAGAGGTAACACAACTTTGATTCTCGAATATACAGAGCTTTTTGTCTTTGTCTATTTTGCTGACTTAGGCATCAAAGAGGTATCCGGCACACACCCACCGGGTAGCCTCACATTTGTGTTTTCAGGAAGTAAAGCAACGACGTACGAAGGAGCGGCAGACTTGATCAACAGGATTATACGGGAAGAATATTCCTCTGCCCGTACAATTGACGCCGTCTGTGGGAATTCAGACAGGACAAAACCTCTTGATCAAGCTTTACTCTTTAGAAGCAATAGCGCACAATGAAGATTTACCGCAGTCCGCCATCGACGGACAAACACCAGAGGGGTACAAGGCGCGAAGGCCTACCTCTGTCCCTCCTATGGCAAACCTGGAGCCACAACGACAGAATCCCAGGAGGGATGCAAGAGGGAGGAGGCGGACTAACAGCCCCCGTCACTCTTGTTCACAAGTCTTGCCAGGCGAAGGCAGAGGATTGACCCTCAAGATCTGGAGGACCGCGTGAAGGAGCAAGACGAGTTGATACGACGGATAGCGGCGAAACTGGAGATTATGAAACGCCAAATGAAGGGAAAAGAAGTGGCGACAGGAGAGGGGCGCA